TCTTCCGACCCGCAGAGCAATGGCGGCCAACGCGGAGCGCACGTTCATCGCCATCAAGCCCGATGGGGTGCAGCGCGGGCTGGTCGGGGACATCGTGAAGCGCTTCGAACAGAAGGGCTTCCGCCTCGTGGCCATGAAGTTCATGCATGTGAGTCTCCCCCCGCCTCCCGGCCCCTCCTGTCGCCCCTGTGCGAGGGGGAGAAATACCGCCCTGGTCCTCCCCCTCCCCTGCGCCCTCTCCACTTCTCCCATCTCCTTCCTGAGCCTAGCAGGGGCCCGGTACTGGAGGTGCGGACGTGCCGCGAGGAGCAATTCTTAGACTTGCAACGTGTAAAAGTTGAGTGTGCTGCAGCGCCGGGGCTTGGAAATGTAGAAGCGGTGAGATGCGCGTGCATCAGCGCTCAGGGGAGGGGAGGGGATGGCGGTGGCACGCTTTCGAACTAAAGTGCTGCAAAGGGGCTGCTGTTCCCTGCGCGCCGATGCGGATGTTCCTGCTTGTAGGACTGTCGGCTCGTGTGCGGACCGGGCTCGGTTAATCGAGTCTGCTCTGAAGTGGAGCTCTGGCACGTTGTAGGACCAAACAGTACGTGTATAAATACCCGAGGATACTTCCTGTCTTGTGTAAAAAAATCCCTTTCTTGATGATCCCAAACGCTTTGCCTCCTTGAGGGCTGGGGAGCGCAAGGGGTGATACTACGTCATTGGCTTTTCTATGTCGTTTGCTTCTTTCTACCTCCCTTGCCTGTTTGGGCCGGGGTGCGATGCTGCCTCGAGAGCCTTTGGCCTGGAAGGCCCCTGCCCTTGGCAAGAAAATGCCTCCAGCCCTCACTTGGTCCTAGCCTGGGGCCCAGACCTGGGAGATTCTGCTCGGGGTTCCCCCCAGGCATCAAAGCAAGATGCATAGCCTATAGACACAATATTTAAATGAAGACAGCAGTTGATTCTTCCTCCCACGGCTCTAGATAAGTGTGCTGCCAGGCTGAGTCTTTTCCCTCCCACCTGAATCAAGTTACCTGAAAATAACTGAGAGCTGAGCTTGTTCCACAGAATAGACTACATGGGAGCAGGAGTTAATGTCCTCTCAGTTGGGCACCTCTGCTTTTCTGTTGCAAAGGCCTCACATGCTTCGTGCCTCTTCTTTGTTCGTACTAAGCCACAACTGCACTGGTTGTCTTCCTTCTCCTGAGAAACGGGTTGAGCTGGTAGTTTAATGCAGCCCAATGCCAGTGAGCAGAAATGACCTTGACTGGAAGGTTACACCAAGTAAGACCGAACTAGCATGAGGCTTGCACTAGGCAAGTCCTTGCTGATTTTTCTTAGAGCAGGAACTGAAGAAAATGTGTGTGTGTGTGTGTGTGTGTGTGTGTGTGGGGGGGGGCAGAAGTACAAATATGAGTCGAATTGTCTGTGCTACTGTGGGACAACATACTGTTGCTATTATTGAATGACAGTGATGTTGCATCAGATAATTCATGTTGTTTTTTAAACATTTTTCTCAATCTCTCTAACTTTGTATTTCAAGGCCTCTGAAGACCTTCTGAAACAACATTACATTGACCTGAAAGATAGGCCATTCTACCCCGGTTTGGTTAAATACATGAACTCTGGACCTGTTGTGGCTATGGTAAGGAGCATGGTATTTATCTAAGTAGAGAGATACTGTGCAGGAAATTCATAGATCTCTGGCTCTTACTTTGCAAAATACTCTTTTAAAATGACTCTTCAGATATATTATGGCTTTTTTCAAAAGCTTAAAATGATATTGGTCCAAGGTATAAAATACAGTGGCAAAAGAAACTAAACAACTTCCAGACACTGCAGATAAACATGATGATGATCAGTTCCAGAAAAACACAGTTAATTAGCAAGGAGGACGAGAAGAAAAAAACAAAAATCCCCTTCAGACTTATACAATAGATACCATTTGTGAGGTGGGTAAGGAAGACTTCTCCAACTTCCAGAAGAGAGAAAAGTGACCTATTGTGCTGAAGAGTAGTAACCTGTTAATGTTGGGGTGGGGGGGAACTCTCTATAAAGAAGACTTGCATGTCTGCAAAAATCAGCCACTTTATAGTAAGTGGGGGATCTTCTTAAAGGTCTTAAATTTATTTAGCTAATTGAAATACAATTGCTAGAAGCCTTACTTGGGATAAGAATTCTAACTAGAACCAGATCACTTATGAGGAGGGCAAGTAGTAATACTAACCTAGGTAAGTCACTAGGGCTCTGAGCATATCATGCAGTACTGCGGAGAGCACGTCTAGGTGAGGCAATGGTTAAATTGTCAGTAGTGGTTTGTGTCCCTCCTTCAGTGGTTGGAGGTGCATCGTGGAATTTAATACAAGTGGAGAACTTGAAGAAAACTATCGCTAGAGTAGGATGACCACATCTGAATAATAACTAAAATAGCTGAAGTAGATTGCTGGTAACATGTCTAAAGAAGCTGTAGAAGAATTCTGTAACAATCTGTTTATAAAATTGAGTTTTAAACCCTGGGTAGTATCTGTCCTAGGTGATTAGAACGTATTGGCTAATTAGGATTCCCTGCCACTTTTAGAGCTTTCCTGCTCCTAGCAAAACAGGAGGGCTGGCTGGGGTGACCTCAGGCAGTAAAGTGGTTGCTTGGGGAATTCTGAAGCAGCTGAAAAATATTGATGTACTTCTTCCATTCAGTTCTTAAAAATAACTGACTGCTTTTGAAAGTCTTGGCTATATGGGTGGAAAATATAACATTGTCTCTTCACAGTTG